TTTTATTCTGGTGTTGTATGAGAAATCCTGGAAGACAGGAATATTAGTATAGCTAGATTCTAGCTTATTTGGAGTTCTTAGTTGCGTGTATATGTGTTCCTTTATTTGATAAGAGAAGAAGTTTACTATAACATTTCTTGGAAATTTTTCTGGAATAAGTTTGGGCTTAGGTAATATGTGGCACTGATTCATTACTGGATTTCGGGTTGGAGTATTAATTTCTAGCTTCTGATATAGATCTTCTAAGTATGTCTGTAGCTTTTCCATTGTCACTTCCTCCGAGATATTATGGAACCTTAAATTGTATCTTCTGGCACGGTCTTCGAAATCTGCCAGCTTATCTTCCATTGTGATGAATTTCTGATCTATAGTTAGTTGTGTTGTTTTTATCTCATCATGCTTTACTTCAATTTTTCCAATTTTGTCTTGTAAACTATTTAGTTTATTTTGTCTTGTAAACTATTTAGTTTATTGACTATAGCCACAATCTCTACATTAATTTCTTCTGCAATCGTTTTGATTTCTTCTTTAATTGTCTCTACCATAGAGTCCATACAATTTTTTTTAATAAATAGGAGAGAGTTTCTTCTGCATCTGCTTGAGAAGTGAAGCTAGCATTAGGGACTCTTTCTGAGATTAGATTTACCACTTTTTCACTCTGTTCCTTGTAACCATAAGGGGAGAAAAACCCTATCATGCTTTTATCTGTTTTATTCTCCTTTTTATCTCTTTTAGAGGTGTTGCTTTTGGTAGCCATGATGTAAGAGAGAAAGAGAGACAAAAGGAAAAAACTTTTTAATAAATACAAAAAAAGATATCTGTCTGTACGCAAAGGTATCAAGGTGTAATGATCCAGCAACTAAATTTTCAACCCTCACTTAAGATGTTAAGGTGTCCAGTTGGGTGCTCAATAGGGGCACCTTTGCTTGTAATTTATGCAATATATTTCCAGGTAGTCCTTAAGAGGGTGTAACTTAATATAAACTAATCCTTCCAATAAGCTTTTCAGCTTTATTCTGGGATTACTGTTCAATGATGATATTTAACTGTTGGTTTGTTCAGTGAAATTTACTGAATACATGGCTTCTCTCTTTTTCTCAGATATTTGAACAAAGGGAATTAGCGGCGGTAACCGGTCTGGTTATCCGGGCATTCGCTACACCAGCCTCTGTAGCCTAAGTGTGTCCTAGCTCCTCCAATCTCTCTTTTTGTCCAAGAAGGTACCCCCTCTGGGTACACAGGCATGTCCTCCTCTCTAGGTATCCACAGCAGCAACTTGCAGAGTTTTGTGGCTTTTGTATGAAGCAGAATGTCTCTATTCTTCCCTCAGCTTATGCCCTCCATCGAAATCCCGCGGGTCGGCGTGGTTTCAGTGCTTCCCGCTGGTATTCATTCCTGCTATGGGCTCGGTCCGCCCCCACCTCAGGACGCTCACATGACGTGCATACATGCTACGTCATTGCGCAACCACTGATCATCTGATAACTTAATGCTGTTTTCAATGAATGACGGTGGCAGTCACAAAGTTACCAAGGAAAATACCAATTTAGGGAATTAGCTGCAAAACTGCTGAAATGTGAAAATTAAGAAAATACCTTTTCTTAATTTTAATATTTAAGTTGTTCAGTAGGTAGCTCTCTAATTTGCTATCCTTATGTGGGATTTCTTTAAGGATACCAATTACCTATATAAAGAAGCTACCTGCTAAACAACTCCCTAACTTGGTATCCTTAAAATGACAATCACACATAAGGACACTAAATTAGTGAGCTTTCTTAATGTTTATCTTTCAGCTATTTATAAGTTTTTGAGGAATCGACAAGATATAATTTGCGATGTGACGGCTGGGAAGTACAGGTTTCCTTTCCGGGGAGGGGGAGGGTGCAAGTCAAATCTTTGTTGTTGTGGTAGTAGCGGATCATGGGTCTGGGCATCCGATCTGGACCCTTGAGGTATGGGGGTGCCAGAGTTTTCTGATGACTGTTTTGTGTGACCCGTGATCTCAATTTGTAGTTGCTACAGGGCAATAATGAGCGATTAATATGAGTGCCACAAGGAGCTACAGATTCACGCAGCCATGTTATTCAGCAGCCGGATAAACCTACCCAGCATGCATATTCCGTATACAAGCAGCACACACATTCTATAAACATTTCTTCCTTATTTGGTAAATATAGCAATATCACTTGAGGATAGGCAGGATATCTTCTAAACAGCTGAAAGATCAAAATTAAGAAAAGCCCCTACCTTAATATAACATTTTCAAATTTTTTGTAGATATCTCTCTAATTTGGTTTCATTATGTGGGATATTTAGGTTACCAAATTAGGGAGCTATCTACTAAACAGCCAAAATATAAAAATATTAACGTTATTTATTTTTTTTATCTGATCTGAACTGTTTAGGAGATAACCCCCTAATTTGCTATCCTCAAGTAGGATATTTAAGCATACCAAATATATCTATTGAACAGCAGAAAAATGAAAATTAATAGCCCTTGTCAAAATATTGATCTTTCAGCTATTTAGTATAACTCCGTAATATCAGGGCTCGAGTCCTGCAGGAACGCATGGGAACGGGGTTCCTGCACTTTTTCCAAAGCAGGAACGCCGTTCCCGTTACCTGTCCTGCAGGACCGGCCCTGCTACCTGCACTGAGGGGCCATCACACGCTGTGTTCCCTCTCCAGCTATAACTCTCGCGAGACCCGCGGCTGTTACCATGGCAACGCTCCGCACAGGCGAGTCTCGCGAGAGTTAGAGCTGGAGAGGGAACACAGCGTGTGATGGCCCCTCTGTGCAGCGGCTGCCTCCCTCCACCGGACCACCAGGCGATCTCCCCCCTCCCTGACAAGGTAAGAAGCAGGGAGGGGGGGATAAAATAAATATTATATATAAAGTAAGAAAATGCTTCCTCCCCCCCACACACATCATCCAGCACTCACACTCACACACCCATCATCCAGCACACACACACATCATCCAGCACACACACACCCATCATCCAGCACTCACACACCCATCATCCAGCACACACACACCCATCATCCAGCACTCACTCACACACCCATCATCCAGCACTTACTCACACACCCATCATCCAGCACACACACACCCATCATCCAGCACACACACACCCATCATCCAGCACTCACACACCCATCATCCAGCACACACACACCCATCATCCAGCACACACACACCCCCATCATCCAGCACACACACCCCCATCATCCAGCACACACACACATCATCCCACACTCACACACCCATCATC